ACTCTTAAGTTCGTGATCATGATCCCACGGTTGAAAGCTTCTCCACTCCTTGGACTTCCTTCCCACGTGTAGGCCCATCAACGTGACGATGTCAAAATGATATTTATCAGCCTCCCCCTACTCAGGTTGAAAGCCAACATAAAAATCCTTGAGAAGAAGATTAAGACCAGACCACGATTCCAAGAGGGTTATTTGGAGACGCAGGAATACGTGACAAGCCAAAGTCTGACCTGCGTAGGAGGCACCTCTGATCCGTTAATAAATTTTGTTTCTTGCGTCATCACTCAAGGTAATCAAACTGCGCACTTACCATAATAAAAGAAAAGGTGTGCTGTAAAACATGAACTATAAATCGCTTGCTTATCACAGCATACACTTTTAATTTACACCAGTTTTCGCTCGGCAAGTTCATAACATAGTTTACAGCGTAGTCAGTAGATAAACTCGATTAGCACTAACACAAATCAGCAAGCGTTTAGTTTAAATATTATTAAGGAGAGCGGTAACTTTACTTACCGATTCCGGAGAATTAATAGAAGTCCGACTACCGAACAAATGATATCTGTAGAATCACCTCTGTAGGGTAGGCGAGGGCACTGGACGCTTGGCAATATTAAAAAGTAGTCATTAATGACACATTTATAAGCTTCCGCATTGCGGTCTTGATTTGTGGAGTGTTCTGCAGATGATGCAGTCAACCATGCCCTTATGGTCGTGTTCAACACCACGTCTACGGTGTTAGCCTTTCTCTGTTCATGGTTTCACCACAAGACTATGTTTGGTCGCCTACACGAAAACTTAGTTGATCATGAGACATTCTTTTATCTGCCCAGGAAACACAAGCCTTCTCCGGCAAGGTTTTATTCCGCCCTATTTTGGGTCTAGCTGCTTGACCAATTATAGCGATTCATAGTGTTGATGGATTGTTTACCTATACTATCACGCCATTTTAAGTCATTAAAATTCACAAAACTAGCTATCACCCCTAAAGGGAAGAAGAATGGCGAAGACACATTATGAAAGCGAATATTAAAAAGCAGAAACCGTATTTTATATCTTCAAGGTCCTCTTTATATGTTACGTGCTGCCATAGGTGCTCCTACTGCTTCGGGGAATCCCCTGTCACCTGAGACGGTTAAATTAATCAGTGTTTATAAGCAGTCGTTTTTCAAAACGCGCACTAAGTAACGAACTTTTGACGCGCGCAGTTTGAAAACACCAAGCGAATTTGTCAGTTGAAAGAGCAATTCTTTGACGTTTCTTCGAAAGGTAAAGGTAAGCCTTAAATGACGATATGTTGTCTAGGGTATGTTAGGCTTAAGCTCTTGAATTGTTCCATTTTTTAAAATATTTCGATTCGGTCTCGTTTGCTAGACTCTTGTGAGAATTGTTTCGGTCGTAAACATCACATAATTTTTTAAATTGTTGGTACATTCTCAAAAAGGCAGAAGTGTATCTGACCACACACAAGAAAGAAACTCGTCAAATTGGCGGAGAGTTTTCTCTTGATGTCTCTCTAACTTCTCAGAACAAAGATTGGAAAGAAAATGCCTTTAATTCGGGCTTGCAAGGGCCAAATTTTATTATCTCGCACGTCTCGCTTAAACCTGCTGGTAAACAAAAACAACTTTTGTTCACTCTAATTATAACGTCCAATTCTAACGTCTTCTATGACATAAAATTTCTTATTCGTATTCGATTCAAGAGTTATTGTCGGAGAAAATGTAGCGGTAGATTTGATTAGAAACTAGCAAAGATCGTTGTAAACTTTAAACTGTCCAGTAATAAACAGAATTTATTCATTTTAATCATTGGCGTGACGAGATTGAACAGGGTTTATCTTGCCCGCTCCGGCAGTAAACGACGAGAGAGATTGAGGCTTTCTGACCTTTTTACATGCTCTTGCAGCGCAGCGATATCTTTTGGAAAACATAAGTTCAGCACTGAACTGTCACATTTATCGATTTTTTTTGCTGTTGAACTAGCTACTCTATTTTGCGTTCAAAGAATTTAAGTCGTTTGACACGCCTTGGGTTTTATAATCATTATATCTCTGACTCAGACGTCTGGAAGTTTCACCGC